CTTCCATGTTTTAGTTGGAAAGCATCAGTGTTATCTTGACAATATGGACATGATAGCCTTCCATGCGTTGTCCATCCAGATAACATACCATATGCTGGAAAATCACTTATTGTCCACATAAGTACTGCCCGCATTTGGAAGTTTTCTTTACACGAAACATCGTACGTTTCAGCACCTTGACCCCATAGCTGTTGCAACTAATATATCAGTGGCTGTAGAAACACATCAAGTGATCTCCTAGGATGCTCTGGTCCGGGAACGAGAATGGAGAGAAACAAAAACTCTCGACGCAGGCACAAGTTTGGCGGTAAGTTGTATGGTGTGAGAATCACTGGCCATGGAGAATACTGTCTCCCATGCTTCCCAAATGGGCTGAAACCGTCCGTACATAATCCAAGGTAAACATTTCTTCTCTCATACGCAGATTCTGGATAGGTCGACTGGAAATACTTCCAAGCTTTTGCATCTGAAGGATGTCTAATCTCACCATCCGTTGAATGCTCTGCATGCCATCTCATTGGTTGCGCTGTGCGTTCAGACTGATACAACCTCTGCAACCTTTCCGTCAAAGACAAATACCACATCCTTTTATATGGCACTGGAACTCTTCCACTCGTATCTTTATAACGAGCCTTCCCACAAAACTTGCATGTAACCAGCTGCTCATCCGCCCTCCAATAAATCATGCAGTTATCCCTGCATACATCTATTACCTGATACGATAAACCAAGACCAGCTACCAGTTTCTGAACCTCGTAGTATGAACCAGGGGCAACATTATCCTCAGGTAGAACACCTTTTACAAAATCAGCAATCGCATCCACACAGTCNCTTCCCCTCTAAAATGATCATTTACCATCTGCTCAGTACCTACACCATAATCTACGCCCGTTCTAATTGGTTCTTCTAACCTAACCGCAGGCTGAGGTTCGCTAGTACTACCATATTCATAACCAGTTTCCCCATGATGATACCAAACTTTGTAACTCCGTGTAAACCCTCGAATATATAGATGAGTCCAAACATCTAAATGTTTAATAACCTTCCTATTTTTACAAGTAGAGCAAGGACATCTTAACATACCCGTTTCAGCTTCCGGTTGGTTGAGAGCTTTCCCCATGAATTCCTTTAGACCACTTTCGAATTCTGGCGTAAGCAATCTCGTGTTCGGATCCATATGACGTCGATCGATCCACGAGCGATGATAATTATAAGAAGACATGTTTTTTCAATCACATTCGTGTGTGCAAAATAGAATGAGAGAGGATGAAGATATGAAGTGAATGAAGAGGATGAGGGGTGCTTGTATTTATAGATATCATCTGCCGACAATTCCCACGAAATTCCGAGGAAATTCCGAGGCAATAGCCGTTGGCGTCGGAATTTCCTCGGAATTTTTGAAATACCACAACGGCTAACTAACGGCTATAATTTCTCATCGGATTTTCCTGGGTTTATTTCGAGGGACATTTCGTCCTCGGAATATCATCGGAAAAATCCGAGGAAACTTTTGTTCCTCGGAATTTCCTAGGTATATTCCGAGGAAATTCCGAGGAAACACATAAATTGTGTTTCCTCGGAATATCATCGGAATATTCCGAGGAAACAACGTTCCCTCGGAAATTCCCTCAGTATCGCTCTGTTTTCTTGTAGTGTGTCCGTATTTCTAGGCTGATGTCTCTTACATTTCATCGGACTTTCACCCTAAGGAGGAGCAACAACACAAATCATATGAACACCGACATGATGCGGAGCAGCTCCAGTTGCTGCTTGAGAAAGATCACCGTGTAAGGGATGAGATCCGATTGACTCGTCGCATCTCTGAACCTATCGCCGAAGCTCCACAACGAAGACTCCATCTCACCATCTCTATTTCTTGGCTGTCGTCGTTGAACCAACGCTTGAAATCAATATTACTTGAGCCTGCAATTCTCAGTTGAAGCCTTAAGAAAACTCCTAGAGTCAATCTCTTTTGCAACGAAATCCCAATTCTTGTTAGCAAAAGCTTTTTCGAATTTTTAAAAGAAGAATTATATGTATTTTTTATTAAACTATGTTATATGAAGGCCAATGACATATGTTGTAATTCTTCTAGTAATTAAAGGGTTTTTAAAACTAATAGCTGAGAAGAGCTGTGGTAATGCCATATCATCTAAAATGGCAAACTTGTATATATATTACATTATTTTTTCAATTTGCTTCCCTTTTAATAATAAAGGGATGTAGGAAATGGCATGAATATATCTCAGCTCAACTCAAACGAGCCAATCTTTATATATTAAAACAGAACTCATGACTTGATTTCATGTGTGATTTTTTTTAAAAATAGACTATTACTAGAAAGTTATGTTACATTAACTCTCTAATAATCTTATCATTATTATAGCTTATAATATGCTTAACAATTTGGTTTTGGTAAATTACCCCACGCCTTCCAACTTAGTCACACAAAATATGTCAATAGATATAAGTTTAGGAATCTTCTATTATTTATAAGGAAATATGTCAATAATNTTTTTTTAAAAATAGACTATTACTAGAAAGTTATGTTACATTAACTCTCTAATAATCTTATCATTATTATAGCTTATAATATGCTTAACAATTTGGTTTTGGTAAATTACCCCACGCCTTCCAACTTAGTCACACAAAATATGTCAATAGATATAAGTTTAGGAATCTTCTATTATTTATAAGGAAATATGTCAATAATAGTTAAATGCATCTACAATATATTAACAAAAATCACAGATTAGTAATATGGAATATTTATATACCTTAACAAAATTTACACGCTATATATATTAAATAAATTTATTATGATGTAAATTTTTAAAATTATATTGTTTTAAAAAAAATTGTTTAAAAATTTTTTTTTTAATAAAATTATTTATAATATTAATTTACGAAGCTATAAGTTTAGTTTTTAGCAAAAATTTCTTCTAATTTTATATTATCTTTGCAAATTAAAATACACTAATATTTAATCAAACTTTATTTTTATTACTTTATCTAAAAATGAAATACTAATCTAATAAACAATAAAATATATAAGAAGAAACAAACACATGTTTGAAAAACATGTATAATATAGAAAATTTGAAAAAATCTATTTGATTAAAACACTCATTATATAATATTATTATGTTTGAAAAAATTTACTATACATATCATAAATATGTGATTACTATAATATATACCAATTTACAAGTGAAAACAAATTATTTATATAACTAACTATAAACGAAAACAAACACCCGCGCGGTTGCGCGGATCAAAATCTAGTTAATGTTTAAATTTAGAAACTCTATATATCAAATCATTGCTTTTAAATTTGTATATTTAAATTTTAATTATAGCCAATATATCCCTCATTAACCAAATTAAATTATTAGTAACTAGATGACTTCCTGTGTTATCGCAGGATAATATAATTCAAAATGCACTTGTGGTGAATAAATTTTGCATATATTTGAATTTATAATAATTTTGATAAATTAGATTTGTTGATAAAAATCGATAGAGAAATTTTTATTGGTTAATAATGGAAGAGTAACATTAATTTTATTTTATTATATTAATAATCATCTTAACACATGTGTCTCATAATTATCTCATATGAGTAAAAAATCTCATAATTATGAAAGTAAAATATATAAAATAAACTACCATATGAGATTTTTTTGTTTTTAAAAAATTGACTACTATATATGAGTTGTAATATATATATATATATATATATATATATATATATATGTAATATTTATTTTTTTATAAATATTCTATTATAATACATGTGTTAATTACTTCTAATATATAATATAACTTTATATTAATTACAAGGATATGTTGTCAAAAATATTTACATGGATATGTAATATATATATTTTTTGTAATTTTAACCAATATGAATTACTAAGTATAGTTTAGTTGGGTACACGATTAATCAATAATATTAGATTAACTTCAACACATTCTAAAATATAATATAAGAGATCACACTAAACATTCTCAAGATATTGGTATGTTTATTTGTTTTTAATTTGAATATAATAAATTAGTTAATAAAATTAGGATTTTAAATTTTGAATTATCATAAGAAAATTTGAAGTAAATTTTCCAAAAACTCACTTTTCTGTTTGTGTTGATAAATAGGCCCAATGTAACGGAAGCATATAAAGCCCAATAAGAATCTCACCCTATTTATTTTTGGACGTGCCACGTCGGATTTAACTAAGAAAGTTTTCGACTTGGCGCTACAATAAGCCTGAAAATTGGCACGCTTCCCTCGTCCCCAATCCCTGGAGCCAAACACTGTTCCATTGGTCCGCCACGTCAGCATAATCCAATTTCTGAAATTTGTTTTATGCGAAATTTATTTGGCGAAACCGTGATTAATTAGTAAAATAACAAGGAAAATATATATAAACCGACGGTATGTATGTCTCCTTCTCCAAAGCACACGCTCCTCAAACAGATCCTTCTCCTCCGCGTGCTAATCTCTCGCCGTCGATCATAATAACGAGCTTCAAGGTTTAGGTTTATCTCTCGCTCCAAACTGAAACGACTGATTTTCCCGAGAATTTCGAAGGTTCTTACAATAAGGATTTGGTTTATTTCTCCGTCGTTTCGTCTCTACAAATTTGCCGTTATTTTTCCCAATTTGACGTACGAATTCTCGAATTTGTTTCGTATCGAATTTGGGTTTGAAGATAAGGTTTCGCATTAGGTTCATAGAGACTAATCGCGAGAGGAATTGATAATTTCCGAGGGGTTTTCCGGAGGTTTGCGACGCGAATCCTTTGTTTCACGAAATTAGGGTTTCGAAATCGGAATCTGGGTACTAGTTTTATGTTGACGAGGTAAGAAATCGCTGAGGCAGGGTAAGGAGATGATTCTGAAACGGACCTTGACATTCGAGGAACAGAATCTGAAGCGGTGCAAAGTTGATTCAGAGGTCGAATACGGGAGAAAAAAGGGCGAGATTATAGTGTACAGGAGGAGAAAGAGAGCAAGCGTTGATCAACCACCATGTAGAGAAGCTGAGGAGTGTACAACGAGCGTAGGCTCCTTGACGAGTAAAGAAGAATCTCAAGACCAGTCTAGGTCCTCTCGGGGAAGAGTCCGAGTGGTTCCCTCGAGGTTTAATGACTCTGTTGTTGATAGACGTCGTAAGGTCGAGTCTAGCCAAGACGTTCGTGTAGTGAAGAGAGTCAAAGGTGGTTATGAGAATGGAAGCTCGAAGGTGTTTCCGGGGAAGGATAATGGAGACGGAAGCGAGGTGGATTTTGATGACTTGGGTTGTGGAAAGGATGGGAATTTGAGAGTTTCGGTGGTGTCTTCGTCCGATGACGCTAGTTCTTTCTCTGTGAGGGGTAAAGAGGAGTTTAGTGGCGAATCTGGTGTGTTGAAAGATCTCGCTGCCACGAGGAAGGGGGTGTATAGACCAGAGGACTTTGCTGTCGGAGATCTTGTCTGGGCCAAGTGTGGGAAAAGATTCCCGGCGTGGCCGGGTAAAGTGATAGATCCGGTTTCGCAAGCGCCTGAGGCTGTCTTGAAACATCGCGTCCCGGGGTCGCTTTGTGTCATGTTCTTTGGGTACTCGAAGAATGGGACTCAGAGGGTAAGAAACTAATCTCGGCGTCTTCGAGCACTTTCTTTTGTCCGATATTTTTTTTCTGAGACTACTGTTTATTTACAGGACTATGGATGGATTAGACAAGGGATGATTTTTCCGTTTACGGAATTTATGGACAAGTAAGTACTCGAGGCGGTCTTTCTGGAACCTTTCGGACTTGTCTGTTTGTACGAATTTCTTAGTCTTTTTTTGTCTCTTCAGGTTTCAGGATCAGACCAACATTTACAATAACAAGCCAAGCGAATTTAAGAAGGCACTCGAGGAAGCAGTTTTAGCAGAGAATGGGGTTGAGAGTAGTTGCGGAGCTGCTGAAATCAGCTGCCCAGATTCCTCTGCCACTGAATCCGAACAGGAGCATGGGCCTGCGTATAGCTTTCAGGTACGCTCTTGACACCTATTCCTTTTTCGTTAGATCTTCAAGTTTATTCTGTACTGATTCATTTGAGAAGAAAAAGCAAATAAATTGAGGACAATTCTTACTTTCGATTTCAGCTGTCAGTTCTGTTATGTTCCATAAGCAGCTATATCTGCTTTATACTTTATTTTCTAAGTAATGAGAGGACTATTGATATGCACGGATGTGCCATTGGTATCCTATTCTTTCATAGTTATTAGGAATGTTTCCAGAAAACGATGTGCTGATTCAACTTTTTGTAGGACTCATGTCCTGTGGACGTAAGGACTTGCGAAGGCTGTGGCACAGTAATGCCATTTAAATCTCTGAAAAGGACAAACGAATCAGAATCACAACCTGAAGAGCTTTTATGCAAGCCCTGTTCAAAGGTTCTTACTAAATTTCTTTACTCTTCTGTTTATTTTATTAAATCCAAATTTATTGTTACAGTTGTGGAAATCCAACCAGTATTGTGGCATTTGCAAGAGATCATGGCACTCTTCAGATGGTGAAGATTGGGTGAGAATATTTTTGAACATGTTGGGTAATACTGGTCTGAGTGATAAATTATTACATCAATGTAGCTAACTTGATAGATGTAATAGGTATGTTGTGATGGGTGTGATATATGGGTACATGCTCGGTGCGATAACATTTCGAACGAACGCTTTAAGGTGCAGTTATACAACCCTATATAAATATCAACTTTTGTTTTTTTAGCACTTACGACTACTATTTTCGAAGGATTGGACTAATTAGATTATAATTTTAAGGAATTGGAGCACAGCAATTACCATTGCCCTGATTGCAGAGCGCATCATGAGTGCGCACCAACAGTATTAGATGAACAGAACATATTGTTCAAGTATGTTGCTCTCGCTAGACTCTTTAAAATCTTGGATTCTCCTGCTTCTGTTTTGCATCGCTTTGTTTCTAATTCCTTGATCTGAAAACTGTCCACACAATCTTTGTGAAACAGGACTACAGAAAAAGCGACAGAGACTGAGCTGCCTGATGAAGTTACTGTAGTCTGCAATGGCATGGAAGGGACATATATCCGAAAGTTTCATGTGTAAGTGTTAGATATACTTCCATTTTAACTTACGCTTCTGTTATCAATTCCTGAAATTTTTTTTTTCCAGAATTGAGTGCAAGTGTGGTTCGTGTGGAGCACGGAAGCTGTCACCAAGTGAATGGGAACGGCATACAGGCTGCAGAGCCAAAAAGTGGAAGTACAGCGTAAAAGTGAAAGACACAACGCTAACTCTAGAAAAATGGGTACACCCTTATAATATATTCATGAATCTGGCTTTTATATATATTCCTGAATCTACTTGTACATTCCTTTTTTCTGTATGAGATTGAATGCTGACAACAAGGTACTGCAGATTGCAGGATGTACTGCTCTCCCTCTAGAACAAGGTGCCGCTGATTGCAGGATATTAGATAAGCAGATGATGCTCTCTTTACTGGAAGGTAAATTTACGGCTCAACTCCTATGCACATACTTCTCTTTCGGAGTGCATATTTGGCAGGCTTGCTTACTTTTTATTTTATGTGCACAGAAAAGTATGAGCCAGTTAGTGCAAAGTGGACGACTGAAAGGTGTGCTGTATGTAGATGGGTAGAAGACTGGGAAGAAAATAAGATGATCATCTGTAACAGGTTACTCTATACCGATTTTGGTAGTACTGAATTATACAGCGATTGTATAATCAAACATAGAGTCATAATATCTAAGTCTTACTAACTTTTGAATATGTCTTCAGATGTCAAGTTGCTGTGCACCAAGAATGCTATGGGGTAAGCAAAGCTCAAGATCTCACCTCCTGGGTGTGCAGAGCATGTGAGACACCAGATATTGAGAGAGAGTGTTGTCTTTGTCCTGTAAAAGGTAGTATTGCAGAACTAGCTCATTCTATGTTTTTTCCCATTTTGCATTAGTGATGTCATATTTCGAGTTCTTAACTGTCTTGTCTCAAGGTCACATTATTAAGTACAGAGACGCGTCAATTGAACTCACTTGCCATGTCTATATTTCTTTCCTGGATTTCAAACTGAATCTTCCTTTTATTTATGCAGGTGGTGCTTTAAAACCAAGCGACGTTGAGGGTTTGTGGGTTCATGTAACATGTGCTTGGTTCCGGCCTGAAGTTGGATTTTTGAATCACGAACATATGGAGCCTGCCGTTGGACTTTTCAGAATTCCAGTAAATACATTTCTGAAGGTAATAATGAAATGATGGAAGTAGAAATTATGCTATACGTTTTATTATATTTATAACATTTGACATCTGATACTTCTGTGAAAACATCTTTTAGTTTTGCAGAATTTGTAAGCAGACACATGGCTCCTGTGTGCAATGCTGCAAGTGTGCCACTCACTTCCACGCAATGTGTGCATCACGGGCAGGTTACAGCATGGAGGTTAGTCCTTAGTCTTCTTAGCCTTTGTTGTGCCTAAGATAATTTTCATTTTTCATATTCATGCCTTAATAGGTGTTCTGTTAGTTGATCGGCTTAGTGTTGTGTAACTGATGCTGTTTTCTGTGGAAATATTAGATGCACTGTGTAGAGAAGGATGGTGTGCAGATAACAAGGAAGTCAATTTACTGTGCTTTTCACAGGTTTTTGTTTTCCCGGCATATTCTTTAATTGATCTCTTATGTGTGATCGCCTGTAACATTTTAACCGCTATGTAGGAAGCCAGATCCAAATAGTAATGTAGTTGTGCACACACCTTCGGGAGTTTTTGGATCTAGAAATTTGCTTCAGAATCAAAATGGGCGCATCAAAGGTTCAAGACTTGTTATGACCAAGAAGATCAAGCGTCCAGGTTCCGATATCCAACCCCAAGCAGAACAGAGTCATGGTTCTCTTTCTGCAGCAAGATGCCGTATCTATAGCAGATCAAACACGAAAGTATGCATTTAGGGATCTTATTTAATCTGAGACGCTTGACATTTTTTAACATTCTATTGCTGTACGACTTGCAGTGAAATTTGGTACTAATTTAACTCTGTTACTACTGATTTTTCAGAAGGTTGATCTGGAGGCGATACCACACAGGTTGAAGGGACCAAGCCATCATTCTTTGGGTGAAATCGAGAATCTCAACTCTTTTAAGGCAAGTTTCTCATTCAGAGCTCTATTCATGTTCATTGTTTCACTTTGTTGGGAGAATAATTTAATGAATATCCCATTGAGATCTTGATCTCTCTTTTACTTTGCTACAACAGGAGGCAGATACGTCAGGTTTTACTTCATTCAAAGAACGGCTAAAGCATTTGCAGGTAAGCGGTGATCCAATAAGAGTTAAGTATTATTTTCTCCATCATGTTATCCTTTAATCTTAATAAATATTATTATCTTGTTTAGAGAACAGAAAATCTTCGGGTCTGCTTTGGTAAATCTGGCATACATGGATGGGGTCTCTTTGCAAGGAGAAGTATCCAAGAAGGAGAAATGGTATTTACTATTCATGATTTTAATGGCTAAACTGAATCTGATGTGAGTCTTTAAGGAAGGTACTGATTGCGGAATTCTTGTGCAGATCATTGAGTACCGTGGGGTGAAAGTTAGGAGAAGTGTTGCAGATCTGAGAGAGGCAAACTATCGTGCTCAAGGCAAAGATTGCTATGTAAGTTCAGATTACTTGCTGACATTCATCCTTATCCAGACTGCCTCTAATGGTCAATTTAATTATCTTAAAACGCAGTTGTTCAAGATAAGCGAAGAGATAGTGATTGATGCCACAAACTCTGGAAATATAGCCCGATTGATCAACCATTCAGTAAGTTTTCCAAAAATTGTGACACACACTAGACCACATGACACAACTAGAACGAAAAACTAACGATGCTCATGTCTTGTTGTGTCAGTGTATGCCCAATTGCTATGCACGTATTGTAAGTGTAGGCGATAAAGAAGAGAACAGGATCGTCCTCATTGCAAAGACCAATGTCTCACCAGGCGAAGAGCTTACGTAACACACTTTTTCTTTCAGCTTTCTCTTCCCATAAAAATTCATCTCTCTTTCAAATTCTTGACCTTAACCATGAAAATCAATTCGTATACAGGTATGATTATCTCTTTGAGGTTGATGAATCTGAAGAAATCAAAGTGCCTTGCCTTTGTAGAGCTCCTAACTGTCGCAAATTCATGAACTGATCAGAGTTCTAGCCGCGGCTGGTTCATGCTGACTTGTTTACCCATTGATATTTGATTCATTGGTTAACTCGCCATTAAATTGTATGTCCATCGGTTACCTTTCCCGGTTTAGCAGTTTTGTAAATCTATAGGATTTTATAACAACATAGGCTACAAATGAAGACTTTACAGTTTACGCACTTTTGATTTTTAATCTACAGGTTATCAAAAGTGTTGATATCTTTTCATGTTTTACATAAATATTGTTCCTTAATTTCTATAAATTAAGTCGAATTTTTATTAGACCGGTAATAATATAGCTTGGGAGGATCTAGTCGGTTTAGCTTCCATCGGTTGATGGTGAACCGAGTTCGAAGTTCATACCGATTAAAAATGTGTAAATCGACTATCGAGTATTGACGATTGAGAGGTGGGCCAAGAAAGTTTGTTACAGGGTCAGAAACGTCATTTAGATTCAAAATTTCAAAAATTCGCTTCTCTCCTCCGCGGGTATAAACTCACCAATCACAACGAAGCGATTCAGAGCTAAAACAATATTTGAATCATTAATATTTTTGCTTTTGCTTAGCTAGTGAGATACTGAGTGAGCAGAGGATGAAGACGAGATCCAGTGATGTACAAGGATCTAACAGAGGGAAGAGGAAAGCTCCAGAGGGAGACGACAATGACAGAGGAGGGAAGAGACGATCGGTGCAGAGCGACGAACAGAAAACCGCTCCTCAGGTCAACGATCATGGTAGAGGGAAGAAACGATTGGCACCGATCAACGAACAGAAGAAGAGGAAGATACTCAAAGGAATCCACGGCTGTGTTTCTCCTCATACTTGCCGTTCGAGCTTCTCCTGGTATTTTACCTCTTCACGAATTAGTTTGGTGCTGAGCTCCAATTTGATTTCGAAATGTTTGTAAGGCGTTTTAATCTGACTGTGTCGACTCGATCAATCGTCTTCGGTAACTTCTAGGACTGAAATTTCGTAATCAAATTGGATTGTATGAGAAACCGATTTTAGTAACTTATTATCGATTCTTGTTTCTGACTGTGTGTGGTTGACGATCGATCATATTTTGAATCATGATACAACGAAAGAGGAATATGAAAATCGAATCTAGAATTAGGATTCGTCAATATAATAAGTCTCTGCGTTAGATTCCTGAGTTTGTTCATATTATTTTTCTCTGTCGAATCAGGTTTGAGCAGGACATATGGACATACATAGCAAGGTTTTTGGACGGTAAATCACTGGTGATGCTGGGACCAACAAGCAAATGGTTTAACACGACGGTGATGGATGATTCTATTTGGAGGTTTGCCTACTTGCGTGATCTTCAGGTCCCTAAGCCGTGTCTAGTTTCTTCAAGCTGGAACAAGATCTATGCTTCTGCTTTTGGTAATTATTATTATTATACACAAATTACATCAAGAAATAAGAATATTGTATTTACATCAGTTTCCGATTTATTACAATGGTAAACTAAGAAATGAGATGATAGGAAATGCAGATGGGAGTCACTCTTACTTGTCCACCACAAGGAAAAGCATATTGGTCAGTCCCTGAATTTGATTCATCATACTTTCTTAGTCATGTTAATACAGTATGTTTCTTCATTTTCTGATCACAAACTCATTTTATCTGGTTCTGACACTGAAATTACAGACTGGATGCGTATTGGTGCCTTTACTCTCGACTCTCGAATGTCTCTCCTGACTGAGAGTTTGAATGGTCAATTGAAAGTCCCAAGGGAAGGAAACATTGAACAAATGCTGCAATCCAGTGGTTCATGTATCATAGAAGACATCAAAAGTGGTATCTGGATTGCAGGTAAGACATCATAGGCTCTGGAACTTGTCCACAAACGAGGAAGATGTAACATGGCTTATCTTTGTTTACAGATTTACAGCTTGTTCGTTGCCCTATCTGTGACCTCAGTACCTGTGATGGTAAAAGTCTCTTATCAACTCAGATATGTTAGGAACTGATATTAATGTATCAGTCTTTGCAGTAACTAAGTTTTTGACTACGAGTTTTCTGTTTCCACTGTGTAGGAACAATGCAAACACTTGATAGTAGGCATATTGAACTGTTCCTGAATGAAGGATACAAAGATGGAAGCTGGGACTACAATCTCATCGGATCTCATAAGGTACAGAAAGACACAAATGCAGCTTGTGGAGCCATATTTGATCTCAAACACCTTAAAGCATCTTCAGCCTCAGGTAAGTTCAAGTGCAGTTACCCTTCTTCTCCACTTTAAACCCTTGACTCTGGCTCACACGTTTTCATAAATTGAAATCTTTATAGGTATTCTCCACCTCAAGTCTTGGATCGGAGAGCCAGATGATTCCCAACCCAAAGCAGTTATCACAACCCACGCAGTAGCTGTCCACACAAGGTTACAGAAAAACGAAGGTATTACAAATGTCCTTACCACTTTTCATAATCAACCATCTTTAAGAAGAATACACAATTATAATATTTTACATATCAAAATTGCAGGAATCCTTGTGAAATATCAGACGATGAAGGCGGGAATTGACGGTGACGTTGTTGCCATCAGAATCTCCCAGCAGCTACTCTGAGTTCATGATCACAATGTGTTATCAAGGTCACACAATAGAGCCTTAAGTATATCTCTGGTATGCATATAATTTTACTCTTAAGTAAAATATGACTCTGCTTCATTATATGACTTTACATCTTTACAGTATGTTGCAAGAATAACCTGAGAGGTTACTGAACTTGTTGTCTACAAAACTTACGCATCACTGAATATAAGAAAAAGATTTAAGACAACCTTTTCCTTTAATTACAAGTAATTATTGTAAGTATATCTCATTCATGTTCATAATGACGTACTCAAAGCAATTCCATCTCCTTCTTCCCTCTCCTAAACGCCTCAAAACACAAAACGTTGCCACGGTTACTTAAAACAATGGTAAACTAAGAAGTGAAATATTGAGATGATTGCAGAGAAAGGGGGTTAAGGATTTGGAAGCAGGGATGCGTTTCTGGTTTGGTACTAGAGACATTGGATTGTGATGTTCTTTTGGCGGCTGGTATCTTGGAGTGGTTCATATTACGAAAGGTGTATAGTTTCTGGAGGTTGGGAGTAAGGGAGGCTGGATGGTGATACAAGATTGTTGTGCCAGTAGGAGTGAGTGCTGGTATCTTAGTAGGAGTAAGGGCTAAGATTGTTCAATGAAGTTTCATGACCAGTAGGAGTGAGTGCTGGACTCCTAGTAGGAGTGAGTGCTAGGTTTTTGATTTTCTCATTTGGACTGAGTGGTTGGTTATGGTTTGCTGTGGGAAGAATGCTGGACTTATGGAGGCTGCGAAGCAGAGTTTTTGAACCAAAATGGTTCTATAAAATCTTGTTTTATTTCAATTTTGTTCAGAAAACTATAAAAGGACACACATAGTTGTAACAAGGTCTTTTCTTTTGAATTAAATTTATCATTCAATTCAAAAAAAAAAAATATTGAGATGATACAGATGGGATTCATCACTCTTACTTATTCCATCACAAGGAAAACCATATTGCTTACTTTGTCCCTGTAAACTGGATTCATCATACTCTCTTCGTTTTGGCAACTATATTAGACAAAATCTCATGTGAGTATAAGCTGTTAAGCCATATGATAACTTTCTCACTCTAAAGATTGTATTTACTGTCTAGATGTTTTGATTTTGTAATGTTCATCTTTCTTTTTTATCAAACTTTGTAATGTTCATCTTCTGATTGTATCCTCTCGCTTTATCTGGTTTTGACTCAGTTACCGATGTTCCTTCTCCCTTCTGTCCTTCATTTCATTTCATACACTTGTCACATTTCATACACTTCATCTCAAGTCTTTAACCAGAGCCAGAACTCTTGACTATCAATTAATTAGGAACTGACGATGTTGGGCTTCATATGTTATAATATCTAAAAAGCCCAATAAACTCAAGTTTCAAAAAATTTGATACGCCAAAAAAATTGCACCAGCCGGGAATCGAACCCGGGTCTGTACCGTGGCAGGGTACTATTCTACCACTAGACCACTGGTGCTTTACGTTTTTACAAGAATAAACAATTATATCACACAAAACATAGATTTCTTGCAAGTTTATCCATCACCAAGGTCTCTCTCCTCCTAGGGTCTTCATCAAATTTGAAAGGGAATCAATCGGAAATCACCGGAGAAAATCAGCAAAGTTCTACGAGTAGAGAGATCAAAATTCTTCGAATCCAAACGAAACCCCCTTATAGAATTGCGTACGTATCCTGAGTAGAAGAAGAACGATGAGGAAAGAGGAGAATCATCCAGAAAATAAAAGTCGGGTTGATCCGAATCTTCCGAAATGGGTCTGCCAAAAATGTCACCACTCCCTCACCATCGTCGGCGTCGATTCCTACGCCGGCAAGTTCTTCAATGATTCCCCTCCTTCCGGTTAGCCCCCCTTCTTCCCTCCCTCTCTCTCGATTTCAATCTATTTAACTTTTCATTTTTCAAGCAAGTGACTAGATTATAAGTTACTTGTTATGGTTAGAATTATAAAGAGTTTCAGAATCAGACAAACTTGTGTGTAGTGGATTTGTATATATTATGCCTTCTTGTCCTAATGGCTTGTGTTATGATTTAAAAAAATAATAATAATAATAATGTAACTGTTATATCCAGCAATGGAAGGCTCTTGTGTTCAAGCAATTGCCTAGATTAGAAGTTACTGCTTTGAAATCTTCTGACTTATATAAAGAGTTTCAGAATCAGACACTAACTGTGTGTAATGAATTTGCATGTATGCCTTCTTGTCCTTATGACTTGCGTTATAAAAAAAATTGTTACTTAGGCTCTTTCCATCCAAAACAGTGTTCAAGAAATTGCTTAGATTAGAAGTTACTGCTATGAAAATACTAGACTTTATAAAGAGTCCAGAATCAGAGAGACCTGTGTAATGGATTTGTAGACATGCCTTCTTTTCCTAATGACTTGTGTGTTTAAAAAAATGAATGTAATTGTTATTAAATTGTATTGCTGGATGTAATAATTACATTACTTGTGTGTAATTAAATTTTTGATATGCCTTCTTTTCCTAATGACTTGTGTTATATAAATAAAAAACTAACGTAATTGTTATGTCCAGCAATGCAAGGCTCTTCCATCCATGGAGCCAACAGTGTTCTTGGTTCAACACGTATGGACAACTCTTTTGTTGTTTTACCTCGACACAAGCCTCAATCTCAGGGCATTCCTCCACGTCCTCGTGGGGCTTCTTCTCCTCAGCCTCATGATGCAACACACTCTGGGAAGGCAATGGATGAATCGTTTGTTGTCGTGTATAAGTCTGAGTCAGCTTCTGATTCTGGAGGCGCTTCTCAAAATACGTCAGCCCTTGAAGTGGGCCAGAATGGTCCTTTGCATTCGAATACTTCTGGGTTTAATGCGACTATCAATGTCTTAACACGTGCTTTCGATATTGCTAGAACTCAGACACAGGTATGCTTCTCTAATGGTTTGGCTCTTCACTGAAGATCATATCTTCCTGATTAAATGAAGCTGATAGTATGTTCCTTTCTATTGTCTTTGGTTCTCTCAGGTTGAACAGCCATTGTGCCTTGAATGCATGAGGGTGTTGTCTGATAAACTTGAAAAGGAAGTCGAGGATGTGACGAGAGACGTGGAAGCATACGAAGCATGCGTTCTGCGGTTAGAAGGAGAGACACAAGATGTGCTTAGTGAAGCTGATTTTCTCAGGGAAAAGAAGAAGGTAAGTTTCAGTTTTCAGCTTATTATTCAACCCTAGTATGAATTGCATATGATATTAAGTAGTAACTAATAAGTGCTTTTGCTTTTGTCCTTCTCTGCTTAGATTGAAGAAGAAGAAAGAAAGCTTGTTGCAGCTATAGAAGAATCAGAGAAGCAAAATGCTGAGGTCAAGCGTCAACTGAAGGAACTTGAGTCAAAGGGAAATCGTTTTAACGAACTTGAAGATCGGTAAAATTCTCTCACTGTTCCTCTGTTGGCAAAAAAAAAAAAAAAATCTTCAATGCTCTCTTTTTGATTTTCTCACATGTCTTTGTTGTAGATATTGGCAAGAGTTCAACAATTTCCAATTTCAACTAATAGCTCATCAGGTGCGTTGCTGGTGGTACTCTCTAAATGAAACTTTGACCTGTGGAGAGTAATACTCTCTAAATGATTATTTGACCTTCAGAGAGTGATACTCTTAGGTTTCTCTCTTATTTCAATTAATGATACTTTGGAGCGTCCAATTCCTTGACAAACTCTCGATAACAGTTCTCTCTCGTTGTGTGGTATTAGTTTTAGGAATAGGCTTTATCAGCATAGCACTTGTTTTCTTAATATTAGTGCTAATGATATGTCTTTGTAAACAGGAAGAGAGAGATGCAATCTTGGCGAAGATTGAAGTCTCACAAGCACATTTAGAGTTATTAAACAAGACAAATGTACTGATTGATGCCTTCCCCATACGGTATGATGGAGAGTTTGGTACAATCAACAATTTTCGACTTGGGAGACTCCCTAAAGCACCGGTAAGCGTTGCAAATTTCTGTGTATTTGATGTGCATAAACCTCTTCCTGCTCATATAAAGTCTAAAACTAGGTCCCATGAAACGTTATCAGGTTGAGTGGGATGAGATAAATGCAGCTTGGGGACAAGCTTGTCTTCTCCTCCACACGATGTGTAACTATTTCCGGCCAAAGTTTCAGTATCCTTGTTAATATCTCATAATCATTTTCCTTATTGTTCTTTTTGTGTTTGATACTATTTACTGTAAACGAAATTTATCCTTAACCAGTAACCCTCTCTAAGATGTCGAGTCAAAATACAGCCAATGGGAAGTTATCCAAGAATCGTGGACAGCACCAACAGCACTTATGAACTGTAAGTTATCCTAGTGTGTGTTGTTTTTCTTTCTTCAGCATTTTTTACTAAAAAAAAATGTGTGATGATCATCTTCAGATTTGGTCCTGTAAACTTGTTTTGGAGCACTAGATACGATAAAGCCATGACGTTGTATCTGGTATGTCTTAAAGACTTTGCTGAATTCGCAAACGCAAAGGATCAAGAGAACAATATTCCACTAGAGAAATGCCTCAAACTTCCATTCAAGTAAGTCCCCACTCTCATTACCAAACCTTATGGTTTCATCTTCTTGAGAAACCTCAATAATGGCCTATCTTGTGTTATTAATAGGTTACAATCCAGAGCTTTTATAATATGTAATCTTTTTGCGCAGAATCGAAAATGATAAAGTGGAGTCATATTCAATAACGCAGAGCTTCAACAAGCAAGAGAACTGGACCAAAGCACTGAAGTATACTCTTTGCAACCTGAAATGGGCTCTCTATTGGTTCGTTGGGAACACTAATTTCCAGCCTCTCTCTGCAACTGTCTCGTTGCCTTCTGATGTGTCAGCAGCTGGTTCCTTGTACGCCAAGCGAGGTCCTGGTTCTAATAACCAGTCTGGTAAAAACTTGAGAAACTCGTGAGGAGATGGAGATACGAAATGAAACCAGTGACTTTGTGTGAAAGCATTTACTGTTATAACATCGAATAATAAGAAACACTGATGCTGATAACTTATTGTACAGGCCACTTTTACATTGTGTGTAATTATTATATAAACCTTTCACAGAAACCACCAAAGTTCAAATTGTTACAAGTCGAATGTTAATATTAGTTTTATAGAGTTGAAAAAAGTATACCACGCATCTAGCAGAAGGAGAAGCAGCATATACAAACCGAGCAAGCCTTGGCAAAGAAAGGACTAATTTGAAAAGAAAAAAAAATGCTGAAGAAGCCGTTTGCAAGTTTAAGCCTATTTATTTTGTTCTTGTAAATAGTAATAGTAAGGGGAGTACAAGAAGACACTATCAAGTAACAATTGCTTTGTTCATTCTAACCCTCTCTTATTCATAAATAACTTAGATATAAGTTATATTTATTATTGAAATAAAAAAAACAATGCTGCTTGTTTCTCTGAAGGTCATTATTACTCAAGGCTTCTCTTCGTCTAAATTAGAACAGGGAGGTCCATGCACGGAATCAGCGAAAAACTCCTCTATTTGATGAAAATCAAAGGAAGAAAGAAAAAAAAAATTAGAAAAATATCAAAAGAAAAAAAGATGATTGAATGATAAAGCAGCACAGCAATATATAAACCAAACAATAACCAAATCAAGTTCAATTTTCTTTTGGTTTTTCTACTGACATGTTTAAAGACTAGTGGTAAATGAAGAGCTGAAATACTTTATGAGATTATGGGTTTACCTATGTCCTCTTGGTCAGGAGAATCCAGCAAAATATCTGAATCAGATGGAAGAAACGGAGAGCCTGTATAGTTTCCTAAGCCTTCTAAATCTCCTACATACACATCTTTATCCCATAACCAGCTCTTGTTATTATACATATATATATAACAGTAACACAAACATGTGACATTGAAACTTACCTCCCAAGTTTGACATATCTGCGTTGAGGTCAGAAAGGCTAAAATCCCAGTCAAATGACCTAAGGGAATCTGTGGTATTCCCAGCTCCTTCTCCTCCAACATCAGCCGTGAACTCAGAATCAAGCACTGAAGTGTCCATTACCATGTCTGAAGCATCAAATGGAAAGTGTCCACTTGATGCCACAGAAGCTGGACTCACTGCCATCTCAGACATCCCACCACTGCTTGGTGGAACCACTTGAAGATTTGCATCTTCCACGGTTGTATCAACCACCATACTAAGATTAAGAGATTTTTAAAGTTAAGACATATCAACAAGATAAACCATCGAGATTTAACTTTAACTATGTTCTTACTTACTCTTTCGTTGAGTTCATCCTCAATGGCTGGAACTGCGCAGGTGCAGGGACTCCGTTAACCACATGGCAGCTTGACATTCCCGTTGCGGGATGGCCTGGAGGAACATGCATTTGAGGATGTTGTAGTACTGGATATCCAATTTGCATGCCAACTACTGTACTGCGAAGAAACAACTGTGTTAAATAACCAGTGAAACCAAAACTTTTACTTCGTAATATATCCAATTATACAATACAAGTTTTTTTGTCAGGAAACAAAGGGTTTTAGACTTATTACCAGGTGCCATGTGATGCATTCCGTTTGGCACCGGTGCCAGAGGAATATTTGGAGGAACAGGAGGATGCTTCATGAAATGGTACTGGTGCTCAAGCAATTGATTGAACACAACTATTTGCTTCTTCAGCTTCAACCTGATGTAATAAGCCCTGAAAAACTCTGGGTTTCCTTCTTCCAGTTTCTGCCAAACTGGTTTCACACACACAAAAAAAAAAAAAAGAATGGTCAAAGGTTCTGATGCAAAGAAACAAAGTAAAGAAAGAGACTTCAAGAGCTTTACCCAAGCTAGTAAATCCAGGTTCTATCCTTGCCCGAGTCAAGAGGGTCTTCACGACCTCATCTTTGTTCATGTACAACTGAATACATCTTTCTATCAAATTCTGGACCTACATCAATCATGTATATCATCCGATGTTACACAAAGACACACACACACACGCATAAATAGAGACATAGAGATAGAGGTAAAGCCTACATCTTTTTAGTTGAATTAACAAGGAGGAGGTCAAATATATATATATTCTTACGAGTTCAATATCTTCTCTTGAAATTTTCCTACTATCATTGCTTGAAGCAGATACAGAAACGGCATCTTGGATAGGAGCATCTATTGGTTGGTTAATTCTCTGTTCACCTTGGGACTCCTGTGAAGCTTGAGTGGAAGATTGTAGCTCTTGTGCACACTGTAATTAAATAATATATATATTAAATTTCACTTTTTGGTAATCAAAAAGTACTGATGAGACAGGTTTACTTAGACCAATAAGAACTATTGCGTGAACTAGTCTTAGCTAGAAGAGAATTTTAAACATTGTCCAGTATACTATACGAAAGTACTGATCTAACATGAATAAGCAGCTACAAGTGAAGACAAAAAGGGAAAGGCGCGCGTCTCAAAACCAAGGAATCTTAAGAAAATAGCAGAAGTGCTTTGATGATCCTTGTATTATACAAGAACCTGTTACCTGTTCGGTCTTCATTACTGCTGAACCTAAACTGCTTTGATGATCCTTGAATCAGAACTCTACTCTTTAGCTCAACAACTTGGTCAGTTTCTTTGTTTTATAATTTTGATAATCAAAGATAAACCTGAATTACAGGAAGAAGCAAGAAGAAAATAATTAGTTATATAGACCATAGTTCATCTACATACTAGCACCTAACAGGTTGGTAGCTAAAATAGTCAGCTAACAGTCTTTTTTTCACTGAAGAATTCATCGATTCATAACAAACAATCTTGTGTACTTTCTCTCTTCTCTAGTCAGCTACCAGTCAAAGCAATACATTTTTTTAGCATACCAATAAAACAAGAGTAAGGAGGGTATAAAGAGAAAAGCCTTTTTCCACAGTGATTTGTTAATTGTCAAACAAGAATGGAAAGTGAGTCCCTCAAAACATTTGTTTATTAGAGTTCCAAATCCCAAGTAAAGCACATTACAGAATCTATCTAATAATATATTAATAAAAACCCTTTCATAAAGTTTTAGTCCACGGAAACTAAATCTTTAGCAAAAAGAATAATAGTTCATCCCCCAGTGTATGTAGATTGGTTTCAACATTCACATCAACTACAGCAACACAAGTAATAAAGTCTAGAACTTGCAAATCCACTAATGATAACTGTACATTTCTAATTAGATAAATTCCAGAAAGGTTTGACATTTGTGGAAGAAGAAAACAAAGGGAAACAGATTCAGTGAGTATAGTAATACCCAAAATTGCAAATTGCTGTTGAGAAACAGAACAATGAAACAAAGATTTTTAAAAAACAGAAGAACAATAAACAACACACACACCCCCACATGAACAGAAACACAGTCTAATATAATATTCAAGAAAAATCAATAAAGCAGAAAGAGATTATAGTTGAGGAGGGAACTATCGAAATAAACAAACAAATCCAAATACATATAAACAGATTCCAGCAGCGAATCTCACCTTCCCCCGCGAAACCCTAAAATCTCAACACTCAGAAAACAAAAGTTGTGAAGTCGACAAATTGATTAGATCCCAAAAATTATGTCTTTTAATTCAACAATTCATATGAACTCTGAATCTAAAAACAAAAACCTAAGAAAGAGCAAGAGCGAGAGAAAGAGGACCAAATGAGAAAAACAAACAAAGTTTCTTTCTGAAAATTTTTAGTACAAAAGAAAACAAAAATCTGAAAGTAAAAGTCAGTAACGGTAAAAAATTAAAATGCAAATGACAATAGATGTTAAGTTGACTCACTGGAGAAAGAAGAAGGAAACAATATCAGGAATGAATAAACAAATACTGATGTTCCCTTTTTTTGTTACTATAGGATAAACATCAATATATATGAATATACTACATCTTGAATTAAATGTATGTGATTGATATTCGGACAATGAAAAACCAAAGCTCGGTTATGGTTCAAATTTACCGTTTTAAAACTTAACCGAACCAAACCAATATATATATACACGTATATGGTCAAGTTGGTGTTTGATGTGTTACGACAAGGCATGGCCATGACCTGCTTCTCTGCGTTACTCTTTGGGAGTGGCATTTTCCATTATTTTCTGGCAAGGACCACTTCTCTCTATTTTTTTTTTCTTTTGAAAAACTAACCACTTCTCTTCTAAAACTTAATACTAATTTACTAATTCTAAAATTCATGTCCAATATCGACTTCTCATTACGAGTGGGTCTCACTTCTAGTATTTTTTCTGGAAAATAAATAAGTAAATACTAAGAAATGGTTATGTCAGTCGTATTCACTAGGCGCCAAAACAAGATCTCAATTACTCAAATGTTGACTTCCCTTTCACTACAATTGTTTATCATCTTGTACTATAATATCCGACGTTTCAATGTCTTAAACAATTCAACATGTCACTACGTTCAAACCACTTCCACAACTATATTCTTCATTTTCCTATATATCTTATCAAAGATTTCTAATTATTAACATTTATTTAATCAAATTAAAATTGTTCTTTCGTCGTATTCATCTTTTTTGCTTTTTGTTTGGTTTCATCCGACTCTGATTGATTTGAAATGGTGTAGACAGCATTGTATTTTTTATCTAGACACTAATACTTTTTTTTTGTAACATCTAGACACTAATACAAAGTGTATAATGCCTATGATATCAGACAGAATATATTGGCGCTAGGGGTGGGCGCAAGGCGAGTACTTGCTATTTTGCATGTACTCGCGACTTGACTTGCCTTGTACGAATAATAAAATTTTCGACTTGTACTTGACTTGTTTAAAACGAGTACTTACTATTTCGAGTACTTGATGAAAAATAAACGACTTGCAAGTTATTTGCCTTGCTCTATTACTTACTATTTACGAGTACTTGTGCACTATTTACGAGCTTTTTCGGAATATTTAAGAACTACTAACTAAATAACATTCTGTTAGAAATAGACATGAAAATTTGTTTTGTTTATTTTACTTAAAGTAACATGTAAATTACTTTAAATAGAATATTTGTTCATATTATAAAAAAGATAAATTAAAAAATACATATTATGGTATATAAACATTGTATAATGATCACGATAACAAGAATATCTTCTCTAAATAAGTAACAAGTAATAACAAATCATATTACTAAATTTTTAATATTTGTTGTTGTGTAATACTTGACTAGATAACGACGAGTATTCAAAGATCAAGATTGAATACAAAATAAGTAACAAATATAAGAAGAGTAGTGTGTATTTATGTCTAGTCCTAAATGCAAGTAAAAGAAAAGACAAATATGAAAAACTAATTAATAGATTATGTAACAAATAGCAAGTAATGGAACAAGTAGCGGGGCGGAACGAGTCAAATACAAAATATAATAATGATACTTGATACTTGACTTAGTCTTGCAAGTAATGAAAATTGTCGCCTTGTTACTTGCCTTGACAACACCGAATACTTGAATTTTTAAGGCGGGTACGAGTCAAATACCGAGTTTAAGGCGAGTAACGAGTAATGATGCCCAGCCCTAATTGGCGCAACACAAACACACACACAAAACAACATTTAACCAATAAAACAAAAATCAGAAGCATAAATATTCAAAAAAATGATTTACATGCTCCTATTCTAGGCTTCTTCAACCATTGTTTTGCATCATACTTAAATCCCCTCTGATCCAAAAAGTTCACCAGATCCTAAGCATGTGTGATGGTGTTCGAAGATTCTTCTTTTCTTCTTTAGAAAAATCTTCACGCCAAGGGAAGAGATGCAATGGCTGAGTATTGCGTTGATTGTTACTTCTGCCTATGCATATGAAAAAGATTTGAGAAAATATATCGATTGCTTGATGAAGTATGGTGTCGTCATCCTACTACAACTTTGTAGTGGCGAGATTCAGGTTGAATTCTACGACTCCTCATGTATCAGATGACTTAAATCGCCTTGTATGGGTTATACACAAGGTTGAATGCTTCAAAAGAAGCCACTACATATGTGGCACCATTAAAAGGACAATTTTTGTCATCTCAAAAAGAATCTCTGCCTTTTTAGAAGCATGTAACGAATAAGTAATTATCATCTAGTTGTAGAGAAGCACTTGTCTACTTTCTGAATTCTAAGGGTTTTCTCACAATCTAACAGAGAATAGTCGGGTGATTGTAGATACAATCTGATGAGCCTTGAGAGATATCATTCGTCTTCCATCATTCTTGTTCTGAAAGCTAAAACATGAAACTTTGAGTGATTCCATCCCATGAGCCTTAAGGCAGAAGACCACTATACACCAAAAGGGTTCATGCTTTAGTTTTCAGATTTCTACTTAATATTAACACACAACAATGAAATATTGAACTACATTAGCTTAACCTTGAAATTTTTGATTGATTAAATATATATACACATATATCATATGGTTGTATAATATTATGTATTGGATGTTGTGTTTAATAGTACCAGCAAAACCATAGTTTAGATAGATCATCATCACCACTAATCTTAGATTCCTAAATATTACATATTATATCACCTCAATTGAAGACCACCTCAATTTCCTCAGCTTTTTGCCTCAAAAGATTGTGTTCTCCTTTGGTTTTGATAATAATTTCTTGAAATAAATTTTTAGACGTCAATCTAAAGGAAAATGGTGACTATGTATATACAAAATTTACTCAGAAATTGTAATGAGTTCCACAAAAATAATCATAATGCAATCCTCAATTTCCTAAACAACTACAAAAAAAATTAATGGTGTGAATCTTCCTAAGTTGATCAATAGAGGTTCTCATGTCAACAGAAACATGAGTCAAGAACTTAAGAAAGATCGTCACTAGTAAGCTTGGCTCCTTTGTTATCATCCATTCCAGCAGCTGAATGGAAGTCTAGGTCAATCTCTCTAGTTTCTTCTCCAGAACATGATCCAAAAAATTAACACACAAAAATTATAACTTACCAAGGCTGACAAACTTAAACTTGCTCAGTGTTGACTTGGCTGGAAACAAACGATTTTAAGTAATTATTAATACAACATTAGCTTAATACTATAGTACTAGATTTGTTTCCAGTACTATTTTACAAATATATAAATTTGATTATTTACAAACTTATTAACATTTATCGTTTTTCAGACACATAAATATATGAATATAAACTTTTCAGTCAGTCTGTGTTCTGTTTGATGGACCAAAAGAAAATTAATTACATAAAAGCATTAGGCCCAAGTACAAATATTCTTCATGGTGAATTTTGGTTACTACATAATATATTGGGCTGGGATTGAGATTATGATGATGATCTTTAGTTTGACAAAAAAAATATTATTTTCATACTACATAACACCAAATATAAAGTTTCTAGATTTTACGACATAATTATTGGTTATGAGAGAAAAATACACAGTAATTAGTATCATACAATAATACAATAAAGAAAAGGGGGAATACCAGCAATAGATAGGATGTCCATGTAGGATAGAAAATTCAAACCAATCAGAAAACTCCAATCTACAATATCACTTTCTATTTCATGTCAATTTCTCTCTCTCTTTTGCTTAGCTAGCTAGGTGTGAAAAAATAGACTTGATGATTCATACTAAAATTACAATTGAAACTTAAAGTAAGAACAACGGATCAAGAGAAAAATTTGCACTATATATGAGCGCTAATATCAAACATGTAATTTACATGTGATTTACGTTCAGTCGTTCACAATATACACATTACTACATGCGATTACCTGCTAGAGAGATACCACGTGTGTACTTATAGTTATAGCTAATTAATATCATGCATGTAAGTTATATTTGAAAATTTGCAGATTTTATACATCGATTTAGACGACATCAACTATGTTTAAGAGAATTTAGACTATGTCAACTATTTTTGACATAAGTGAAGACAATGTTAGTGTTTAATTAAACTATGAAGGAAAAATTCCTTAAAACTTATCCTGATAGATTATATTGTTAGCTTTTTCTCCATTACGATTCTATAGTTTAAATTAATTAATTGTCATAAACACATAACATCAAACTAATTCCAAAATCTGAAACTCTTTAAAGTAATAATTGACTCCAATTCGAAGCAACGTAAAAGGAATCAAAGCGTGATGAAGAAAAAGAACATAGTTATCATATGCATACATTTGCATAAACAACACATTCGATTTTGTTTTTCTTTAATACAAATTCTTGTTTCTGCACCCTCGAAGAGTATCTCATAGTCTTTCAGAGAACCAGTCATTGATTGCAAATACAACCCCATCACTCTTGATTCAACTCATCATCTAACATTCCTGTTTTCAAGGCTAAGGCATGAACCCTCTTGATGTTGCGCTTAACAGGGATTGTGTTGACAGAAGAACCAAGCCCATAGTTGAGATAAATCTTCACTAATGAGCTTGGATTCTTAGTTTCTTTCCATTTTGCTAGATCTTTTGCAGTCTCTTTGAACTTCTCTATCTTCTTCTCCAGAACGTGGTCCTTCCATCCGGTTTCGGCACTAGTCCCGTGGTAGAGACAAACGAGATCTAAAACTGTAAGATAGTCCATTGCTTCGGAAATCTCTCCCACCGAGTTGGATACAGAAATCTGTTCCGGAA